ATACAAGACATACATATATATATACATATATGTATATATACATATACATCTAGATCGCGTCGTAAAGCCGTGACGTTTGTTTAAGCTGGTCCATACTAGTGTGTCCTGTCAGCGACGTCGTTACCCCCGTGGGGGCTTCCTTGGGACAATATTGGAAGCTCATGTGGCCGCCTTGAGTTGGCGGAAGCCCGACAAGGCGAGAATGCTAGAACACTTCGAGGTCCTTAAGGACATCATGAATGTTGGCATTGTCGAGCTTCTCCTCCCGATTCCTGGCTCGGTACCGCAGGTGGCCGTCAGGTCCGTGCATCATTACAAGCATCTGGATAATGTGGCCTTCGATAGCGGTAATTTGGTGTTCGGTGGGCGTTGAGCACAAAAAGTCGGGTGCCATGCAGGCCTACGCGCCGTTGGGTACGAACATCGTCGGCTTCCCGGCCATCCCAGCAGCCTTGAGGTTATCAATCATGGTTTCAGTTGTTCTTTCCCGACATTTCGATGCAGGTCACACACTGCTCGTGCACAATGTACGCTACGCCCGCGAGCTCACAAACATCTACTTGCAGGTCCCATGGCCCGTTTCCGATGGCGAGACGAACAAGGAGGTGCGGCTCCGCACTGAGATGCTGAGAGTCGATTGATTGTTCCGCCGCGCCTGCCTGAAGTTTCTCGGCTGGATGGTTCGTCTGCAGTCGCCGTATGTCATCGCGTTTTTTTCGACCCGTTGACCCGACCGTCCCTTGACGTTGGTGAGGCTGGTTCAGTCGAACCTCCAGCGCCTCCGTGATACAGTTACCCTTTGCGCTGACATGCCTGAACCGAGTGATGCTTTGCCGCGGTGCCAGCGCATCCTCGAATCCCCAGGGAGTTGGGCGTCCGCTATCGCTAGCGTGCATGTGCCCGACTATTGATGATGCGCCGTCTGCCGTTGTTGCAGACGACGCTCAAGCTTTACCTCACGCTTGCCCTGAGTGCAAGAAGAGGTTCCCTAAACTGCGGGCTCTCGAGAGTCATCGCCGCGCCAAGCACAAACCCCTGGCCCCCTAGCGTCACTTCGCCTGGGTCTCTGGAAGAGCCCGAGTTG